GTCACTCTACTTATACACCTACATAGAAAGTTCTAACATTTTCCAGATTTTTCTAGAAAAAATCGAAATGTCTAAATTTCACCTTTACAACCTGATACAAATGGTTCAAAAAGGCAGATCTTCATGGATGCCCAATGTCAACGTTGGGCATCCCTGAAGATGATTAATGGCTGATATGATCAGATCAGCCATTAATAACAGTTTAGAATGAAATTAAAAGGCCAGAAAATTCTTCAGGGTGACAATATACAAGCTCTCTGTGAACCTGACTCTTACTGAAGTATTCAAGCAATTTTCACCACATTTCACCCTCCAATTGATGTTTATGATTGATCTAACCTTGGATCACACCTGGTAAAGGTCTCATTTTCTGGGAATTGTTTGCATTACATGAATGCTCTAGAGCAGTGGTTTCCAAACTGTGGTACACATACCACTGGTGGTATGCAAGAGGTTTCCAAGCAGATGTCTTTTAAAAAGCTTGTATAATAATGTACTAGTCTTGTATACTTTGTGGGATATGCATATTTGGGACAAGTGGTGGTACACTACACATGCACCCTGGAGGCAAGTGGTATGCAGAGGTAAAAAGTTTGGGAATTGCTACCCTAGAGGGTCCTGGGATATGGTACATTTGCCCACTTTAATGTAAGATTTGATGGTACTCCTTAATGTTTAAATTGCTTTTTAAAGTTTCCTTAATCATTTTCAGTCTGAGTCTGTTAAAAACAGAATTTTTGATGAAGCAATAAATAAAGCTAATAAGCTACCAAGGTTTGCCCATGCACCTCCAAGATCTAATAGGAGATTCCCTCAAGTATTAGCACCTGTACATCAAGGAATGGAATTACAAAACCAGTCCTCTGTATTTTATAATCCCTTGTATATGGAAGTGTACCAAGAGATGCTGGGAGGAAAAGAAGAGGCCCTATAGGGCAATATTTTTGAGGCACAACTTATAATTCAAGCAAGCCTGGCTCCTGCCAGGCAGGGCTCCTCTTCGATCAGTTGCCCTCACTGCTACACCAGGTAGGTATTCTCAATGAAATGAATACAAGGGAGGTTCCTTTGAGAAATGCATTTTCATCACAGTTCATGAAGGAGGTACAAAATCAGAAATTATCTCAGAGCCTCACATTGTGATACAAGAAATGCACCATTCCAAAAAAAAGTAAATGATTCAGAAAAAAATTGGGGGCAGGAGTCATCTTTCAAAAATCCTGCAACCATCATAACATATATACTGAATATAATAAGATTAAGAAAGCTTTCCAATGATTTAGAATTGGCCAAGATCGTGGCATGGAATTATGAATAAGGAAAAGAAAGGGATAATTCACTCAAGAAACTTTGGGATGCACTCTTTTTTTTTTCCAGAATGGGATATTACCCATCACACAGAATTTGAATGCGGCCATCACATTTATTGATATCAGTAGTTCTGACATAACTTCTTATCTACTAGCAGATGAGTTAGTGAAGGAAATATTTCTCCTCTTTGAAATACCAATTCAGAGATTGCTGAATGACACTGAATACAAATATAATTGTGCAAATACAGATACATATTTTCCTCAGAACAAAAAAAAACATGCAGGAGGGGATAAAAGTTCAAAGACACTTTTTCTGGAATAATGCTTGAACTACAATTGAGTGTTAGAATGTTCATTCCTCTGTTACCATGATATGATGATGTAGAACTACATTTCTTCTTACTCACATTTTTTATTTTTACTTGATACCATATAATCCATTGGGGTATTAGCATGACAAAACAGCAAAATATTTTTAGTCAATAATGAGCATCATTTCAAGGCAGTATTTTGTGATTATGTTACAAAAATCCACTGTTTGGAAGTAGGTTGAATGATTTAGTGATGGATATTTGATGGCTGCACAAAGTGCCCTTCACAAGCCTTGAGTGCTTTTCAGAAAAGGAAATGGTAATCTTTTTCTGAAATATTCAACCCATACATAAGTAATGGCCATATTTACATTAGAATCATGGAACACTGTATCAAGGCAAAAAATTTTTTTTGGTTTGTTCCATTCTTTAGAAAATAATAATATTATGATTTGTTGCCTAGTAGTGCTGTTCATCCATGTGAACAGCATTATCCCAGCATAGAAGTGAAAGGTATCAGAAAAAACTTCAACAAAAAAAGGAAAACAGTGACCATCCAACCACTTCAAACAGAGAGGAACAAATGTAAGGGACAAGTTTTAATCCAGTGCAGCGAAACAAATCAAGTATAATTCTGGAAGAAAAGCCAATGAACTAATATAATGCCCTTGTACAAGGGACCTTGGAGACCTCATCCAACAGAATGAGAATGAGTATTCATTATGTCTTAAAAGCCATCACATCTATATTCATATATCACCACCATTTAAGAGATAAAGCACCTTTGGTTGATGGTATACCAGCATTTTGTGAGGAATATAGTTTTCATCAAAGGAAATGAAGCTTTCACCCAAGGGAATCATCAGAGGCTGGCCAACATGAGATTACTTTTATGACAAGGGTTCTATTCTCTTGTTTGTACTGACACCAGGAGGGACTGGTTTCACTTGGACTTAGCAAGCGATTCTTTACTCATGCCCATGGCAAGAAGACAATCACAGCTGCAACCAGCAGCACAGAAGGAATACTTGTCAAACCAGTTAAACATGTGGAGAGCATGTCCTCCATGGCCACAATACATGCAAATGAGAGCACGTCCTCGGACACGGGTGCCACACACCACACAGATGAGAAGATGGAGCCGACAGTAGTTGCAATGTGCACCTGGGACCTCATTGTAGCATGAATGGCACCTCAGTGTCCATTGCTGCTCTGTCGGAGGAGAGGAGATCAGTTTCAAGACTCGAGCCCTCATGGGCAGCAGCTGCCATCGATACAGGATCTCTGCATAAAACTTCTTCAAGGAATCATGCATTCCAGTTGCTTCTGGATCAAGTAGGTCTGGGAGGGCTCTCTGAGAAGATACACCAGAATCCCGTGAATGAGTCAGTTCCACAACCACTGTGTCAGAATGACTCAATTCATCTATTGATGTGTCTGGAAGTGAATTGGAACGTGCATGTCGACCAGAAGATTCAAAGTTGAGAAGGGCTGGTTCAAGTGGATCATGGATTGTGTGATAGGGTGAGGAGAGGATTTTCGGCATGCTTCCACCATGATTTGATGCACATAAAATCACATCACTATTAGGTGCAATTTCATAATGTGAGAGAGGACTAAACACACAACATAGCATGGCTGCTGTCTGAACATCTCTTTGGGAAATGGCACAGGAAAGCAGCATATCTAGGAGTTTTCGCCCTAGAGGATGTGTGCCAAGAGGTCGATCATTGATTGTATCTTGGGGGCACGTCATGGATGTGGCAACTTCAGCAGCCAGATTCCAAACTTGAGAGAGATCCCTCTTTCCCATGTTAGCACAGATGGAAGCATTCACTCGACATGTCTCCACAGGATTTGCAGCATCAAGTACATATTTTTCTGCTAACTCTTTGTTTATGGGAAGCAGGGATCGAGTATCAAAAACATACACAACCCCCATGGCTTTGTGGTCTGATGTTGGTTTGCTACGACGAGTCCTCCGGCCTGCATCAAAATTAGAGAAGAACCCACTACTGTTTACATTGAGGTTGGCATTATTAAGATAGCCACTTAGGGCTGATAGGGACCTTGGAGTTCCTTCCACTGAGGAAGGCCCAATTTTTTTCAAGAACCCAGGTCGGGCAAAACAGATGAGATACCCTGGTCCACAGAATCGAGCACCTGAGGTACGAGGAAATGGAATGGTCAGATCTTGATGATAGCCATAGGTTAGAGTTTGGGCCAGAAGGTCAGGAACAGGTCTTAGGTCCATGCGAGCACCCTCAGAATTTGTACCTTCTTCAAATAAGATCTCCTGGAGACATGACTGCAACTGGAGAAGGCATGGCTCCAAACATATTCGCTTCTTTCGCACATGATGTAATGCAGTGTCTGCCAAAACTTTTTGGATTTTTGGACGTAACCCTGCAGTACTTATATGTGATATGTGGAATGTTGGACTGGAATTATTGGGATAATTAGGAGGGAAGGAGACATGGATGGTGAATTTTAGTAGGTCATCAGCATGTACTTGAATTGTGCACTTGCGTTCTGCAGCATCCATGTCTTCCACACATATCATGGGGCTATTCACATTCAGCAAACAAAACTCCTGCTGCAGAGTCTTTGTTGCTGGCCGCTCTACCACTGGTACTTTTGGGAGGTCTACAGATTCAGACAGGTGCAGGACCTTCATTTCATCAGCATGTTCTACATCGTCATCTGGATTTAGAAGATGTTGCAGGTGACGATCAATATGCCACAGCCTAGAAGAAGAAAAGAAACTTGTAGAGATGGAAACAGAAAATAGTAAAAGTTACTGATTCAGCATAAAGCAGTGAAGTGACCTGAGGGTATTATCCTTGGACCAGGTCACAAGTTGATAGTGCCCATCCAGAGTAGGAGGCTGTCCAGGAGGTGAGGTTAACCTCCAATGAAAGTCCAGAACAACATCTGTGTGACCCATGAAGGTATGTACAGGAGCAAGGGGATCATTCAGATGCCAAAGGAGTAAGGAATTATCTCCTCTCCTCAACTGGGGTACCACCACAGTCACAAGACCATGGCCAAATGGAGTAAATCTGAGAGATAAAACAGGACACTATTATTATCTATTAAAATCAGAGAATATCAGTAATAAGTCCAAATATCTTCAGGAATAAGTTTTTACGAAAACTTTCCCTGGCTAATGCCACAACAAAGGTTTGCAAAGTGTGTTCTCAACTCATTTGTTTACTGAAGATGATACAAACCTAGCCCTCCACACAGGATGATTGGTTTTGATGCAGGCTTCTGGCCTTTTTGGATGCTGGATGTCAAACAATTTCACTGTGCAGTCTTGGGAGCAGGTTGCAATCAGAGAAGAGGTCTGACTCCAATCCAGTCCATGGATTTTTGATAAGTGAGCAGCAATGTATTGGGCAGGAGAAGAAGGCTGTCGTAAATCCCAGATCCGTAAGTCTCCTTCGTGACTGGATGCTAGCATGTGGCTTTGCTGAGGATTCCACTTTACCTAAATCCAAACAGACATTCCATGACAACAGAAAGATAAAAGGTTCCTGGAGGGGAGGCAAAACTGGCAAAAGACCTGGGAAGCACCAGAAATGGATAAGAGAGAAAGATGTGGTTTTCTGGGTTCCCGGATGTCCCAGACAAACACATGCATGTCAATAGAAGATGTAGCAATGAGATGAGGCTCAAACCAGCTCCAAGTCAGGTCAGTGATGGCACGTGTATGACCTTGGAGTTGGGACCTACACTTCATTTCCTGGTCCTGGAACTCCCATATTTCTGCAACCTGTCACATGATCAAATTCTTCATTGCATGAATTCAGAGTTTCAATTGACTGGAGGAATCTAATAGGAATCACCTGATTGCATGCTAAGGCAAAGATGGGCTCATTTGGGCTCCATTCAACTGATGAGACATCCCATTTCCCAGGTCGGCTCACTTTCTTGCTCACTTCATTAGGATCCAAGAGAGGCACGGCAGCAAGGCATCGCCGACCAGCCAATATGGCCAACATTCCATTTCGGTCGATCCCAAGGCAACTGGCCTGCAGCTCCTTGTGCTCCGCTATCACATACTCTTGGCTCCAACGTGAACCTTTCACAGCCATCTACACAAGCATAAGGGGCAATTGCATAAAGAGGCTCATCCCTAGCCTCAGGGTGGGTTTGCAGGGCATAGTAGAAATCTATTAATGAGTGCCCATCAAGAAAAAATGTGGCCTTGTCATATTTACAATTTATGCTAGAAATTCACAATGCAAAAATGAATTGCAGTAAATACTCTCTCTGATCTTTTTCAATTTTTTTTTATATTGAACCCATTTGATAGATGACACTGCCTTAGAAGCTGCACAGTTGAAAAGTGACCTTAGGGATTAAGATCTAATTTCAAGATGCCAGCCTTTGAACTTGGGGCATAATTTCTAGAACCTCTACTAGTACCATGAATAATAGTGCCTTCTTTTCCAGTCTGAAAGTTTTAAGACTCAGAAGCTGATGAACAAGTATGAAGCAGGGGTGTAAATATAGGTTGGACGATTGGATGGAAATGAAAAACATGTGCATGTGTCAGCCCACTTGTCCATAGAAAACTTTTTGCAGTAAATTGATGTACTTATCCTAAAGAGAATGTCATTTATTCTTGGGAAAAAAAAAACTTTATAGACACAAGTGTTTACACTCCTGATGGTAGAATGAAAAAAAAAAGTGTTTTTTTTTCTTCTGTTTTTGGCCAATTAGTTTCCTTGAAATTTACCTCTAAACCACTATTGTATGTTTTTATCAGCAACCATACCATATAGAACCAAATCATAGTATTGAAAAATTAGCTACATTTTCTACCAGAACCTTTTCAGTACTCAAATTCCATTTTTCCCCTTTAAGTAGTCAAAAATTCAAGCAGAAAGAGTATTCTGTATGTGCTCTCTTGTTGCAAACTATCAGTACTATCAACCTGGTTGTGGCACATAACAAACAGGAAAGTGATAAATTTCTCCCAAGATTCATTACATAAGCAAACTGCAATACAGACATTTCATAACACAGATACTGGGGTATGTGTGCTTGGAATATTAGGCTCCTATGACAAATGTTGGATGGGAATTTACTTTTAAAGACTGGGAGTTTGACAGACACAAGAAATTTGACTTATTCATTATGGTACAAAGCAGGAAGGGGTTGCTTGCTTGGTTCAGGCATCACACATGAGTGCACCACTTCAGGCAGGGCCTTTTGTTGTCATACAGGAGGCCATAGGGGCAGCAAACAGATTCTCTGTGCTCATGACTGATACAGTAGACACCACTTATTGCAATCATTGGTTACTATTATCTGCCAGATAATGTAATCAAATCTCATACACCATAACAAAATTCCATATTATATGTACAGTTTTCTCCTGATTTTCATCACCATCACTGGTTTTCACAATCAGTTAAAGACTGACTACTCTAAGTAGGAACATTTGTCTATTCTAACACTCCTCCCTTTACATCCAAAATGATATGGAAAAGTTTCAAAGTTCTTAACTCTTCCCATAATTTGTTTCAATGGTGGCTTGCACAGATAAGTTTCTCTAAGTGCATTCAAAAGAAGAAAACTATTTGAAATCATAATAAATACTAACACCAATGAAAAAGTTCTATCAAACAACCTAGAAGGATTTATTACTGAGAAATTTTATTGATCATTAATGCTTAATGATCCATACATCTCATATGTCAGGGATATAATAATGATTAGAAATTTAATGCTCTAAGATTGATAAAATGCTAAATATTCAGTTACATTACAGCTAGTCATGTCAAAAACATGCAGGCATACCCATACCATACACTGAATAGACTGTACCATCCCATTAGAGGATATTACATTTTATGTAAAACAAATTACACAATAAAACCTTAAAAGCCAGCATTATGAAATATTTTAGTTGTTTTGTGTGCAATTTTAAGGAATCATGGATGTCAGATGCACCAATTATTATGGTGAAAACTAGGAACGCACTTAACTGAAAATATTTACAATGTTTTTACCCAAAAGGGCTCCCTGAATTAAATCTTAAACCTTTGTGTTTTTACTAGGTGCAGGTATGTTAAGAGACTCTGTGTTCAGGTGGAGCCAGTCACTTTCAAAGGAGAGAATAGCACATGCTTACATGCAGGTGAAGCAAAAAGAACCTACAAAGTTTACAGATTGCTGGTTCATGTTTCCCACTCAATTCCCCTGTACTCTCATGGCAGCATTTGCCTTCCCCATGGGTGATGGGCCATGTGGAGATTTCATCTCCAATGGGGCTATCAGTGAGAAACCCATTCCTTTCAAGTCCCACATAGGAATGAAGACAAAAATTATAGGGTTTACAGCAGGATGGATAAGGAAACACAGAATTATATGATGTAACTTATACTTTATTTCAGGATTGCTTAAGCAGTAAGTCTTAACAATATCACAAGTTTCATAATGACAAAGTCACAATGAAGGGGAGGGGGCAGGAAGTGGGTATGGGTCACTTCAGGGGTTTATAATGAAGAACCAGATCACCTGACATGTTCTTCCATATAAAATGCTTCACAGTGCGCAGGTCCATATTGGGATCAAGTCTCTGTGAAAAGTCATAATGCTGCATGAAATCAAAGTATGACTCAATATGGAAGGAGGCTCAAGGAGACCAACCTGATCATTGCAAAGCAGCTCCACCTTCTCTTCAGGTAACGATATGGAATCAGTTTTGTCCTCTTCCCGTTCATTGGTGGAGGTGGATGGAGTCACTCCTCCAGTCTGTTGGGGGGTCCCAGCAGTACCACTCGTCAGGACTTTTTCTACCACATGTTCCATCACTTTCCTCACTTGAATGAAGTCATTTGCTATTAACCGGTCTCTGTGAGAAAGATCACAAGCTCAGTCATATACAATATGATTTAAAATATTCAAGGAAAACACTATATGCAGGCAGAGCATAAGAGACAGACTTTTTGAAGACTTTGATGCCAGAGGAGGGATGAGGAAGAAGGTAGAAAGGGATTTTGATGAATCTGGGGAGATTGTTTTCCACAACTGTATCAAGTATCCATTGAGGGACAGTGTCACTAAGCAGGACCCCTTCTGTTTCCCCACCAGCATCTCGCACCAAAAGACGGTACAGTGTTCTACCACCCACTTCACTAAAAACAATGATTACAAATAAATTCATCATAATATAGTAAACTTCCATAAAAACAACTATTTTAGTCATATTTCTGTTCTGCATTCTCCCATTATTCACAGGAGTCAATTTGCATAACAAACTTATAATGACTAGAATAAGGAGAGTCAGACAACCTTATGATGACTGGAGTGTGAAGAGGAACTTTGAAGAATTTATTCCCATGAGATAGAGTCTTATCTCCATCCCCCTGACCCACTTCTTCAACTTCAGTCATAGTTTTGGGCCAATATTCAAGGAGAGCTTTCAGAAGCAGCAGACCATAGTTGACTGTAAGAAAAGGGGGTTCTCAAAATCTTCAAAGTTATACAATGAAGAGTTCACACAAGAGTATTCACACCTCTGAGTCTCTCTTTCAAGTCTGAGATCTGGAAAAAACTCAAGTTAAATCAAACTGGAATCCCTTTCAGAACCTAGCTGGCTGTCAAATTTCCTATTACAGTAGAGTAAGCTTTTTTTTTTTCCAGTTTGCAACTTTTATCAATCATGCACTTCTGTCATCTTAAATGCAAAAAAAGTAACACCACGATACTGCAGAATATAGCCAACAACTATTACTCTATACATTTCTGCTTCCACTGGAGCTGTTTTCCACAAAAATTTCATAGTGCTTCAATGAATGCATTTCCAATGCATCTGTAAAATTTTATCCAAACTCACTGGGCTGAGGCAAGACTATGAGCAGTTGGGTGTTGAAAATGGAGAAGAGACTGTAGTGGTAGAGGTGTGGAGAAAACACTTCACACTCGAAATAAGATGCCATAAGTTTTGAGGTTACACAGAACATCACCTCCATTGAAATTCATTTTTTTGGGCTAACCTTCTTATGCAAATGGTTTTGATGAGATTTTCCCCCAATTACTTACCAATGAATTAATAAGTATCGATACAAAGCTGACTCAAAGTTTAGTTAGATATTTCCATGGTTTGAGTAGGAGAATGAGAGCAAGGTAGGAAGAGTCTAGTCACTCAGAAGGGATTACAGTCCCCTGTCTATTATCCAGTTCCAATTTTTTTTTAGTAATTGCCTTATGACCTTGGTATGGAAAAACCAATTTTCATGAAATTTCTGAAGAAAATTGAGCTAATAGAAATCTATGCCCATTGCTGTTTCATGAAAATAACTGCAGTAAGAGCTGAGATATATGTTAAAAGTGTTGGGCTTTTCTTGCCCTACATGGTGTATATTTTCCATGATGATATCTTGTGATCCACTTCCATTTCCATCTGACAATAATATGAACAAAATTATATTGATTTTGAATTTGACGTTTGAATATGCTCCCCAGCTTCTCATGCTCATTGAATGTATATTTCCATCATTAGAGGATTCTCAAGAAGATAACCTGAAAATGAGATGAAGATAGCCACGGATGACAGTTTCCACATTGAAATGAACATAAAGGAATAAAAATATTAAGACTGTACTGATGGTCTCATTTGGCCATAGGGCCAATGGCCGATTTTTCTCTCATAATCATCGGCCAGTGCCGATTGTGACCTGTAGATGAAATAGCCTATAAATTCTAATAGATCTACATTGAAACCATGTGATACTTCTTGGTAGGCCTCCTTGAAATGATAAAGACCATTTTTGGTCCTGTCCAGCCTGTCTGTCTCTCTGTAAGGCTGTCAGCTTGTTACCCATTGCTGCTGTTGAACACATTTAGGGACACATCCCTAGCATAAGCATGACATTGATGGAGATACAATAATTTCCCATTCTTTACCACTACCTTCCTCCACAGGTTCCTATAATCTGGCTGGAATATAATCTAATTGATATTTTTGTCTGGAAGAGGCTGACAGGAGTGGCTTTCAGTGAGGCAGAAGGGCCAACACCTAGCCACGCTCACACCCTCATGTAATTTTTTTTCCCGCTTTTCCCGTCCTTTGGTCACCGGCACTGGCACCTGTGCCATAGGCCGATGGCGCCAATAGTGCAACACCAATGGCTGATAGCCAATACATTCGTACAGTCCTAAATAATATATAATTTAAAACTTATACTTCACTGCCTTAGGGGAATATTGAAAGCCTAAGGAGAGGTGAGCTTTACCAATCTGATCAAGTAATAAGAATGAAAACAGGTTTCCTGCCCTTCTCCCTGAAGAGTTGATGTATCAATTAATTCAGTCAATGGGCTTTGCAAGAAGTACGGTCTGGCTACAAAACTAAGAAAAATTTAGTTGAAGGTAGCTTGCCATACTTTTTTGATCAACTCCATTTTCAATAGGAAATCCTGCTTCCCGGGCTGAGACCCAAGCAGAAAAGCAGTCATTCTCATCTTGGGCCAAATGGATACACAGCATCTGTAAAACCAAACGACAATATACAATTTCATATTTTCAAGCACCTTCCAAAAAAAAGAAGTATTTTTAAAATCTGATGAGCAAAAACAAGGAAGGCTCACTCCTGTTTTCAAGTCCACACTAATCCAATTGGGTATGTAGACTTGAATGAAGTGCTTCTCAATTTCAGACTGGAAGTCAACTTTCCCAAGGTCTTCAACTTTCACAGCCTTGAGTTAGAAAGCATCAAGTATATCAACACATCACCCTCAACTGGCAATATGGAGTTGATCTGACTCATACCTTGAGGACATCATAGAGAGCAACATTCCCATCAGTGTCCTTTGTCAAGATATGCCTCTTATCATTGAGTATGTGATATTGAACGATTGAAGGACCTCCTTCTAGGACCCTCTCTGGTTGGATCATGTATGGTTCCTCAAGAAGACTCCCACCACTATGATTCCAGTTCTCCCGAAGTAACCTTCCTAATGCCTGAAAGCAAAAAAATGTTTCAGAAATAGGCATGTCACACAAAGAACTTGAGCTAAAGAAGGTACAGACCCATTCTTTAACATGGGACTCAGTAGTTGACACCCATAGAGAATTGTGATCAGGAGTGAGAAGCATTCGGAGAATAGGTGCTGACTCTTCACAAAGAAGACGACTGGAATTTCCATCAATGGAAGTGCGAGGATCAGAAACATAGATGCATCGATCTTTCCCCCCCGAGATCACCATACTGAAAGTGTCATCACTCTGCAAGAAAAATTGCAATACTGTTCATTCCTATAAGCAACCCCTGAAAATATGAAAAAAATGTGAAAAAAACAATCAAAACTTAGCTTAACAAGTAAGATAATCATAGTTCATGTTTTAACTACTATAAACCGAATTTGAATTCCAAATGCAAAGATCCAATAGTACAGAAATACCAACCCAGGCCTCTACTGTTATAATTTTCCAATAATCTTTTTTAAATTCAATCATACATCAATGTACAAAATTTAGCCCAGGGGGGACACAATTCCAGAACAGATACACACTTGAGGAAATCAAAATCTTGTGAGAAGGGTCATTTCACCTCAACTGTGTCATTGGTCTGGATTTGATCATCTCTGGAAAAAATTTAATTTAGCAAACAGAGTACTTTGAGTCAGCAGCATATAGCCAAAAATGTTAGCCAATATGAAACAGAGGCCAAGATAGGAACATATGAAATATATTTGAATTCTGACATGGTGAAATGTAAAACCATTCAAACTTTGGTATGTTTGAGGTGGAATGACTTCATGGTATTTAATTATTGCACCTCACCTGAAGTGCCCATACTCCACCACTGTGAATACGAACAGTTGATATGCATTGCTGCTGCCCTAGGGACCAGAGGCGAATTGTTCCATCTGAACTTCCTGACAGAATCATTGTTCCATCCCTATTGATGAGAAGGGACCTCACATTGTCTGTGTGACCTGTATTGTGCAAGAAGACCAGGATCAATACAAAACTATGGAGGGGTAATCATTTAATGACTTAGGGAAGAGACAAAAAAGAGCATATACCAATACTCATTGAGAATGCATTCACTGTCTCAATGGCAACTGATGGCAAACAAGATTTAACAAACCTTTCAGTTTCATAACTTTGGCACAAGTTCGTGGATCCCAAATACGTATCACTCTCTCAGTAGAACCAGATGCTACCAGTGTCCCAGAAGGATTCATTGCCAGACTGTAGATGGAGTCCTTACTGCCATTCAGTGAAGATGCTTGGGAAGGACATGGGACAGTACTGATTAACAAATCCAAGGAAAAGACATCATCTTCATGAAATCTGCTGGACTCACTTGTAACAGTATTGTTCTGTGCAGTCAAGGCAGTAAGAGTATTGATGTCCCAGAGAAAAATGGCCTTATCAAGGCCTGCAGATGCCACATGCTCTTTGTCCTTTGCATATGCTAATGCTTTCACATAGTCCTTGTGTGTTCTCAGTGTTGACATGCAATAGCCTCGCTGTGCATTCCACACCTTCACTGTTGTGTCTGAACTAGCTGAGATCACTAGGAACAAAAGAAGGAAACCACTGTTGAGGTGCCTTGGCAATATAAAGAAGCTACAGCAAAAATATGAAGGATCATGGATAATGATAATAACTCACAGTTCCTGCCATTGCAGCATAACACAACATCATTGACCCAATCAGTATGATGCTCCATTGAAGCATAGTATGGGTCATTGGCATTTCGGCACATCCAGATGCGAATGATTCCATCCCTCCCAGCTGTGTATAGTCTATGACTTGATGCATCAAACTGAAGGGAGTTAACACCAGAGCGATGTCTTCTCTCCTCTTCATCGCGGATCACAAATGAGACCTAGAAAAATATAAACATATATGTTACACAAGGTCATTCAGGGTGTGATCCAGGGCTGAATGTGATTGGTGTCCTTTTTTTGGGAATTAAAAGTCCCACATGTCATCAATGATACATACATTAGGTAGTGCTCTGTCATGCCAACCCATGAATTCATGACTTCATGTGACCTGACACCTGGATATATCTTCCATCTGGTGGATTGATATGAATGGTAAGAGCATATATTTAAAAAAAAAAGCCATTTGTGCAATGAAATCCACTTCATCCATCAATATTACCTCTCATGGAAAGTGATTGCCCTTGATGGGTCCAAAATTAAGCATACTGATGCTATATTTTTTTAAATTTATTGTTGGAGTATTTGTAAATATGGCATGAACATGTAAGAAGTAACTATGAAAACTAAAATAACTCATACCTCATGTACAAAGTAAGATATTGCATCACAGCACTTGAGAGATCACACATTAATTCTCACATGAGCTAATGCTCATCAGTTTGGGGTAAAGCAGCTTGTACTCACACGAGGAATCTACTTTGCTAAATAAACTAACCTTCATTCACTATGCTCTCTGGAACAGGAAAATTCATTTGTACTAGTTCTACATCATGAAAATAAGAAAATCTCAACCACTTTCATGATGTTGCTAATGAAACTGAAAGAATATAAAACAGGATACATACCAAGTAAAAATGAAATAAAGATTTAGCCTTAAGCCACAAGGCCAGCTTGCTGTTGATGCCCGCTGCAGTTGGGAATAACTTGAAAATGAATTCATACCATGTTTTACTTGATGCAGTATTATTTCTATAGCACACTCAGGGAGGTGAGATAACATCTCTTGTGAGAAAAATGCCACTTGGCTTATGAAGCTGTATTAAAGGTAGTATGAATTCTTTTGGAATTCACTTTAGGGCTCAATAGGTGAACTAAAATGGAGGTTCCTGTTCACTCTTGCAGAAAGCACAAACCACAAGTCACATTATTATTTTTGTCCTGAAGCATTATCTCTGTTTTATTCAGTACACAACTTGCTTGCATTCCAGAACATATCTGTAGCGCCTACATAACCATACCTTTTTACGTTCAAAGCATCATCAAGATTATTTCTTTAAAGATAAGAAACAAGTGGATATCGAACTTACTTGAATTTTCTTCTTGGTAGAATGCATTGAAGAATTCCTTAGAGAAGTCATCTTGAGACAGGCGTACTCAAAACCATCTGGATTCCCGAATACTGCATGACAATTGCAGCACTATAACACCAGGTAGGCCTACACTGTGACTTCCAGCAGAAGAGAGAGTTCAGAATGTAAAGCCCAAAAATCGGCCTTCGTTTTCTAGAGAACAGAATCCATGGACATGGGTCACAAGCACGCTGCCATACTTATTCCGGCTCCCCAGTGGTCCCGGCCAGATGTAACAGAAAGGGCTTCTCTTGTATTTTGGGGGAATGAAAGAAATGTACAAAAAAAAGGTGAGTCACAATTAACCTGAGAAAAGGGCATTAAGTGCAACCAAATTCAGTATACATCTCATGATGAGGGTAACGGTTTCATTACCTTAACATGAACCCGATCTCAAGCATTTAACCGAAAGGAGCTCCTTACAAGTGCTAATCGCGAACTTCCAAGTTATGGCAGTTCCTTGTGTGTACATAAACGCAGTTACTAATTATTCATTTTAATTTGTAACATTTGAGGTAGATCATGAATACTCTATGTGTACGGATACCAACATGTTGATCTCTCAACGCCAATTGACAATTCAAACATGCTTGAAATTCCAATCTGTCTACATTTACAATATTCTCCCAAGAGAGATGGAGTCCGAGAAATCACTTTAAATGATTCCAAAGTCTCTCAAGAACTGTGCCCTCATATCTTCCGCTCCATGAAAAATTTGTAAGAACTCATCAGAAAGCCTAATTGCTTACGAAGGCCACCGACGAACGGCGTAGCGTTTTTCACCTACTTAAAAAAAAGGAATCCAAAAAATCCCAACTCGAATTTTCCAGCTGGACCAAAGTTGTAAATTCGGACCATTTCCAAGGCTAAGAGTTGGAAAATAGTTGATACAGGTTGTTTTACTGCTGAAAATTTTCAACTGGAATGCAGCTGGTTTTAATAGCTGTTTCCAGATGGAAATTTCCAGTCAGAATTTTATATAGCTGGAATTCAGTTGCTTCTATAGATGGATCTCCGGCAAGGATAACCAACAAAAACATTTTCATTCCACCAGTGATCAGGGCCGTCCAGAGGGGGAGGGGGAGGGGGGCAAAGGGGGCAATTTGCCCCGGTCCCTTGGAAACCTCTGGGCGGTCCTGCCAGTGATATTGCAACTGGGAACCAATCTGGGTCTGATTTTACTTTCCTGCTGTTATGCAGTTGGAATGGGTCTGAATTTCCGGCTGGGGTCCAGCCAGAAATTATAGCTATTTCCAGCCGGGATTATGAGCTGGGAAGCCAAAAAAAAAGAAGGAAAAGACAGATGAAATCCATGGTAACAGGATTCCAGATTTCTCGTTCTCGTGGTCCCACGCTACGCTCATAGGGTCACCAATTACTGTACCTTCTCATGTCGACAACATTCGGCTATCTCAGTATGTTACTGAATCCTACGCCTCCTACCAATATCGATTGCCTCTGGGATTCCACTCATGACTCTTATTTATACCATAAACTGCCACTAAGTGGCACCATACTTGGCGCCTTCTTGCTCTGTGTGTGTATTATTGCCGTGGCGGTCTCCATTGATCTCCATATATGAATGCTAATCTCATACAGCAAAAATTCTGAATCTTTACTTTAAATCCTGAAGTGACACGTTCTTATCGAAGAGAATGCGTATCAGCGGTGCGCAACGCCCCTTGGTCTCGTGAGTGCCGGTTCGGTGGGTGTGGCAGCAGATGCGTGTCAGTCCACAGTGTCTCACCGGTGGCGCCTAGAACAATGGGTTCCAAAGTAGTTACTTCTTGCGCGATTTTTGTGGCTAGTTTTATTTTTACTGTTGTTTCGGGCCAAGAATCCGCCGTCCTCTACGATGCGGAAACATTCCACAAAGAGGTTTCAACAAACCCGCATTTCGTCATGTTCTTCGCACCTTGGTGAGCGAGCGATGCCATTCAATGGTTGCCATGCGAGAGAGAACACTTAATCAACAAAGAAAGTTTCGCTGATTGGGCCAAAATGACGCCCTGACTGCACAATCAGACCTTGATCTATCTTCTCATCTTACCATGAGCAGCTTTGACATTCTGGAAAGACCTCCACATCGACTAGTGTGGCTGTTTTCGTGGCCATTTGCGTTATGCATAGACATACTTGAAGCTGAAGTGCATAGAGGCGTCATCACCCTTGATCAGCATTTAGATCCCCCGCAAGGAGTACTTAAATATTGATACTCATTCGTACTTGATGGAACTTTGAGTCCTTCACAAAATAGTTGTTACATTTGTTGTAATTGATGTATGGAGAAAAGTAATGGTTGTAGTTTTGTGATATTGTGGCACATGTGTTCACATTTCACCATTTTCGTTTCAACAAGGGTGCAGTTGATGAAAGGTTCAATGTATAAGGCTATCCCTCGACTCTTTCTTCTATGTTGATATTTAAATTCTGTCTTATACCCTATTAAGTGATGACAATCTATTTCTGGCATCAACCAAGTCTCTGAAAGAGCTATAAATATATGCTTTAACACGTGTTCACAAAGATTTTTAAATCATCAGGTTTCAAATGAATGTTGAAAATATTCAGAGTAGGTATAATTTATTGTCATTTGATAGGTGAAAGCAGTCAGATGTGGAAAAACACTCCTGGTACAGCTAGGCCATGTCATTGATGGTTTCAGGCTGCTTTTCAAACCATTTAGTTAAGCTCATTTATATCATGATCTTTAACTTGAATGCATTTAGCATACTTGTGAATCTCAGGAATTGGTCTACTTCACCCTTCTGAATGATTTCTGATGTTTGCTCTGAATGCTATAGTTATACTATTTTCTGATGAAATAAAATATCATTGCCTCCCATAAAACTCAGAATATTTGCAAGTCTTTCAAGAAATGTTTATTGGCTTAAAACATACTGGTACTCCATTCTTACAAAACTAGGTGTGGCCACTGTAAGCGACTCAGCCCAACATGGGAAGACTTAGCAACCAAGTACAAGGATGATGCCAGCATCAAGATTGCTCGGGTCGACTGCACAGTTGAGACTGCTCTTTGTGCTCAGCATGAAGTCACCGGATATCCCACGTGAGAGCATTCTCTTTGGAGTGGCTTATAATGTGAAATTCATGCTCCAGGGAATTGTGACAGGTTAGAGTACCTTGCCCCCCCCATGAAAATTGCTGCTAAGCCTAGTATTAGGCATATGTTATCCTTATCACATCATCATGTATGAGTACTTTCATTTACTTTACCTCTTAGTCATAGACCTAATGATAACATGTGCACATGTGATGGTATACCACTCTATAAGCTACTGCATTGGTTTCATGGACTCAAGGTATCTAACAATTTCACTTTTGGTGAAAACTTCATAGAATGTCTCAGGGCTAGATCCATTAACAGAACTTCATCTCAAATTTCATTGATGATGATGGTTGTGCTGAGGGAAAATGATTAAAACAACTCAACTCCTGTTAAAATTCTTAGAGATTCTACTTTTCTTTAAATTTTAAAAAACCTAATCTGTGAGGTCATATGGTTGGTTTATATAGAATTTGTGCCCAGTGTTAAGAGCAATTATTGGTGCAAGCTATCCTTTAGCTAACTATAGGTGTAAGCTGAACCCATTTGATATTTTATTTTAAAAATGTTCAGTGGTAGATTCAGAACTTTGCATAGTTAGGTATCCTCTTAGTATCAAATTTGCTCACTTGTCACATGAATCAATGCACTTTATAAACATTGTGTCTCGGGGTGAATCAAGGATTTTCAGGAAAATCCCCCTAATTTAGTAGAGTCATACAGCATTGATGCATAGGGCCTAATGGAATTAGGAATGTTTAGAACATGCAATGTTCTACAGTAAAAAAAAAATTTTAGGTTTCGACTTTGTAGCTCATTATTCAATCATAGGAATTTCATCAACTATCCCAATCAGAAGGGTAAGTCCGTGATACTTTGTAACCTTGCCTGAAAGCATTCCTTATGGAAACTAACCTGATGTGTTGGCTTTCATATCTATCTGGCTCATTTGTAATGGGGAGAAGCATGGGTGCTACACCCCTCACTCCATTGTTTCTATTGGACTAATATAATTTGAGGATTTTGATTATTGACAGTTATTGGGTGCATCAATGTGTAATAATTTTTTTTTAATAGAAGCAAGCAGATCTATGGTAAATCTAACTAAAATCATACTGGAACGATGAAAGTCTTGATTTATTTTGTTCTGCTCTTGCACAGGGATGTCTGACATTAATGTTGGATGGTAATTATGACTGAAATCTCCAAGATGAGATACTTTGTGAGTTTGAGTGTGAGATTGTGGGTTATTTTATTTGATGTACTTATGGAAGGAAGGTGTAGTGAGGCATTTCCTAAGTTTCATCTGTGCCATGTTAACACGTTGGCGACAATGCGTCCTGATGCCAGGATGCAGATTTTTTTTCAATGATTACCCTCTGGAANATGCAGATTTTTTTTCAATGAATACCCTCTGGAACTGTTGAGAATGTTCCAGAAGTTTGATTTCGTAATTACTGATGAAAATTCCAAAAAATTCAACATTTTAAAAAAACTTGGCAAAAAAAAATGTTTTCTGGGACCCTGCGTCCTGATGGCAGGACGCATTTTTTGACAAAAAAAATGTGCGTGGTCCCACGCGGCGGACAAGCAAAAATAGGCCGGTCGTCAACGTGTTAAGAACAGGAGCAGCATTAAGTGAGACAAAGGAATTCGTGAAAGCCATTTTTTGCTTCCTTAGGCCAACAACAAATGCTGTTCATAGTTGGTTCAGCAAACATTTTGTCCAAATTTGGTTGGTTTACATTTCTCTGTTTCAACTACTGAGCAATAATCAAAAAAATTTCAGAGGAATGAGTTTAAGAAGAATTATCAGGCAGTTTTCCCAAGCACATATGGACATGTTGAAAGGTACCCTTGAGATTCAAATCAGAAAAGAGTTAATCAATATGAAGCAGCTAATAACCATCTGCTATATTCTCAGATTATTTGTCTAGTAGAGGTCAGGTGAAAGAGAAGCGGCAGGCCCCATGCAAAATTAATAGATTTTTTTTGTATATTGGTGGTCACCTTAATCTGTAACATTTTCTTCCCTCAATACTGCAGGTTAAAGTTTCTCAATGGCAAGGCAGATGATGCAGGAGTTAAGTACAGGGGTCCAAGGGATCTGGCTTCTCTTGAAACATGGCTGAAGGAGCAGCTTGATGGGGGAACCCCTGCAGAAGAACCATCAGAGAAGAAAGAGGAGGTGAACAAATGTTATAATTTTCAAGTTATCCCTAAAGTAGACCACACCTTGATGCTAATGGCATGAAAGTAGGTTTGCCAAGGTGGCAAGGAAAAGCTGATAACAGTAAAGGGAACACTTCCATATGTTGAAAATAAAGCTGATAACATAACACAGTGAGACAGTATTAGCCAGAAGATTTCTCCTCTCTAGATAAGATATAATGCATGAGCCAGTATTACCAAGATAGGTGTGTTTGAACAAAGGTTATGCTTAATTTTTACATATAGGCCTTCTATTTAAATTTATATTGATGACCTGTAATAATAGTAGGCCCTATTAATTGAGTGTCCTAACTTGAAATGCAGTCTCTGGAATGTACTTTAAAATTATGGGTCATGTCACTTGGTCTTGATTTATCTCCCAATAGGAGAAAAAAGCTGAACAACCTCAGGTGCCTGAAGCAGAGAAGCAAGTTGTGAATGAACTCACTATAGACACATTTAAGAGTTTTGTTGAGAAAGGGAGTCATTTTGTGAAGTTCTATGCTCCATGGTGTGGCCATTGCAAGGTAAGGAAATGAATTGCATTTCTTTGGACAAGGGATGTGTTTAATGGTGACTCCCTGTTACTAGGGGATTGAAAGTTTCAGATTGCATGCTTCTCTTTTCCCAGCGGTTGGCTCCAACTTGGGATGAACTGGGAAAGGTCCTGGAGTATGACCAGAGTGTGCAGATATCCAAAATTGACTGCACTGCTCACAAACCTCTGTGCCAGGAACATGAGGTGAAGGGCTATCCCACTCTCCTCTGGATCGAGGATGGGAAAGTAGTAGAGAAGTACTCTGGACAAAGGACTCTTGAAGCATTGAAGGTAAAAAAATTATTTCATCAATTGAGTATTAACTTGAAAGGAGCTGATTGTTTCTCATCTGATTTGTAGGAGTATGTGGACAAACAAAAGGGAGGAAGCATGGAAGAGGGAAAGAGTTCCACAGAAGAAGGTGCAACCGATGTCGTACCCATATTAACACAAGAGACCTTTGCTCAAGTTGTCAAGGATGGAGTTACTTTGATCAAATTCTTTGCTCCCTGGTCAGTCACTTCAACCCTCTCCAAGGATGACTGAATTCATGTATTCCAATATCAGGGTTCTTTTGCAGGTGTGGTCATTGCAAACGTCTTGCACCTACTTGGGAAGAACTGGGCAAGAAGTTCATTGGCAAGGAAGGAATTCGAATAGCAAAGGTGGACTGCACTGCTTCTGACTCAAAATCCCTCTGTGATTCCTTTGAGGTGAGTACACATAATACTCTTTCCATTTTGCCTGATTGAGATGTGCTAAATTTTCTGCTATATGTCTGTGTCCTCTCGAGCATCTTGTAGCATCAATGTACTTCTTCTTTGAAGGTTGATGGATTTCCAACAATCCTGCTTTTCCGAAACGGGGAAAAGATCTCAGAATATGAGGGGAACCGGGATTTGTCTGATCTCACTTCATACCTGATGAAGCACGTCCGGGATGAGCTGTGACAATATTTCCATGATGCCATCCAGCCAAGAGTACTTTGTGTGATGGGTCATGCTTCTAAATGTGATCAATGGCATGATTATGGAATGAATAAATTTGAACAGGCTCTTTGATGTCTGTGTACAGTTCACTGGTATTTGGATGTGTGATGCCACTGAGACTTTTATGTTGATGTTTGTGTAAGCAATAAATCGTTCAGGGTTTGATGAAAGGTGACATTGCATCACAATTGATTCTATGAGACTATAAATGGAACAATTTATTTTGGTTATAAGTGCTTACTGAAAAGGGGGACATAGAATTTATCGCCAAGAAAATTCTGGTAGAAGACAATTCAGTTTTAAATTATTAAAATCATTCGCTGTTATCTAATTTTCTTGAAGACATGCAATAGTGACAAATGACAAATCAACAGAAGCAAAGTCATGTATGAGTAAACCCAATATCAATTCTCACATTGCACATTTATTCATCAACTTTCACAGGGGGTTTACAGAGAAAGTCATGGCACTAATGGTCCCGATTGCACACATGGCCAAACATTGACAGCTTTATACCTCGATATTATACCCAATCATGCGTAGATTCTTCAGAAATGAAGTCGATCCTTGAAGAAGCAACAGCTCATGGCCAGGCGATGTTTACATTTGTGAGGTCCTCTGGCACAGCCGAAGAAGACGACAAGGATAACCGTGCAGTTTGCAGACCGATGTTGCAGCTGATTTTCGTGCCATAACCCCGCAGTTGACCCGAAAGGAACCCTCCAGCAAAACTGAAAGTGAATTGCCTCCACTATAGACAGAAGTCTCCGTGGCACTTGAACTTGAGTTCACGAGACTTACCAGTCTCCAGCACCAGAGACGCTCTTAATGGGAGAAAAGATCGGCAAAGGAGGAAAGAGGATCGGTTCTTGACCCTCATCTATGAGCAGGACTCCATGGGCTCCCAGCGTGACCAATATGACTGGAATGTGCTCCCTGAGAGGTGCAGCCAACTTCAGTATCTCGTCCTTCAAGGCTTCCTCATCGCGAAAATCTTCCACTCTCCTCCAGCCATCCCTATCACCTAACGACCGAAGTTACCGAGTAGGATCGGCTGATGGCAGTGCGCGAGGATCTTACTATTAACGATGACGAACCCTTTCCGGTGATTGTAGATACGATGGCTTGTAATTCGGCCAAATTCGGAGAGACCCATGATAGGGATCGCCAGCGAGGGCTGAGAAACGCCTTCCTTGCCTTATGGACTGAAGTTGGCTCGTAAAAGACTGCAGAAGGGAATTCTCACGATCGTTATCCCCGCTAATACCATACGATGCGCATTCAATAAGAAAATTGGCATTGTTATACATGAAAACTGTCAATTTGTAATAATAAAAAAAACACACCTATATTACAAAACAGCAAGAATCGTGGGGGTCACGCCCCTGAGTTAGGGAAATAAGACAGGTGCGATAAAATCTCCCGCGAAGGGACCCGATTCAATGAATCAGGTCCCTTCATTCATTGAATAATTATAAGCAGTGGTTTACATACGTAGCGGTTACGTTTTCATTACACATTCAAAAGCTGAGTGCCATCCTTGAATGCGATTATATTGTCGCACTTTCCTCCGTGATGATTAAGGTCTGAGTTATAAAACTAAACATTCACGATCACATGGCAAGGTACATTTTTCTCTCACTTTCTATGTTTTGGTATCTTCGTTTCTGCACTTACCTGCAACTGAAGTGCTGTGCTGATGCCATCTCAGGATAAATTCGAAAGGACGATAATAAAAGCAAGACAACTTGGTGGATTAGCCTTCACCGGATGAAAAGGTCATCAGTGCGATCACAGTCCGTCACATGGACAGCCACCAACATAGAATTCACAAACGATCGGTAGGCTTTCTGGGTCCCCATCGGTTTCACAGCGGACGGAACCTTGCGTCCTGACTCCGTGGTTTTAATTTCGTCAGCTAATTTGTTTCGTCGTTCTCGTTGTCTCATCGACCAGAATCGCCAGACCTTTTGTCGAGTTTGGTCTCTCGGTCAAACGGGAACTTTGGTCATTCGTCAATTTTCGTCTCGTCATCGTTGATGAAAGTGAGAATTTCGTCGACAACAACTTTCGTCGCAATTTTCGTCTGGGAAATCAACTCTGATGCAAGAAAATCTCGAAACTTCCCTTTCGGATTAGCACAATTTTGCTCCTAGTAATGCAACTGCTCTGCTCTCCTTGTCCACGAACGAGCGATTGATAGAGCTTTTTATTCGGACGTGAAGTTGCTACTGGTGATGGATATACAACGTGCACGTGAAACGTATGCAGCTTACATGCACGTAAATCGATAGACCACTCCGTCCCAGAGTCATGGAGCTTCATGGATGGGCCTTGGCTACGTTTTCATATTTAATGTGTTTATTGAAGCTTCCAACCCCCTAGTCGATATCAGCTTCCGCCACCCCATTCGCGGTCTCTTTGACGTTGGTCCGAGCATGCGGGTCGGCACGAATCGGGGGATTCCTGCACAAACCTCATCCCGACTCGATCCTTCCTTCTCCGAGCCCGAATGAGAAGCATTTCATCTCCTCGACTCGAACGCAGGCAGGAGGAAATCCGCGGGGTGCGGTGGAATGGCCGAGATGAGAACAGGAAGGAAGGGATCCACTGTGGCGGTTGTCGCAAACAACCGTTATGAGTACGCCTATCTCGCTGCTTCATAAAGCGTACTCTGTACAAACAATGTCTGATGAAGGGCGGAAGGAAAAAAAAAATCCTCGGTTATCATCTGCCGCAACGCAGCTGATAAACTTGGAACGGGGATTTTATTTCGAGGCTACAATCGGCATCGTATCATGCACACGTGCTGTGTACAGTATATCACATGCATAGCCATTTTGAGTAGGGTAGAACAGTTACTCGTGTCTTTCGATCAGTCATGGGACCATTGGGAAAATACATCGCATTTCTTCCTTCCCTCCCCCCTCCCTTCCTCCCACGTTCGGTGCTCGTGAAAATTCGCAAGATCACAGTCTTCTGATTTCTTGCACAATGTAAATGGACTCATGCGAACAGTCACATTTGAGCGAAATCACAGCATCTGATCGAGTATTACGGCAGGAAGTTTAACGGTTGTCTTGATGCTGATGCCTCCTAGACCAGAGGGTGCCATTGATAGACGCCATCCCTTGGCCAGCAGAGATGTGACGGATCACAGAATTATTGTTAGCCTCGCCCATATTTAATCATGCTTCTTTTCTGTATTTCTGGATTTGAATGTGGCTTGTTCTACACCTCCGCAGTCTAAGCATCTAATCTTATCTAAGCATCCTAAGTCCTCTCAAGTCCGCTAAGCCTTTTAAGCAGCTCATAAGTCCTGTTCACGTTATCCATCCGTTGCCGAAACAGTTCGCGTTGTTTTACCACCTGCGCACGACAAACATCTCGGAAAGAGATAGCTCGGATGCATTCAAGGTGCCGCACCTTCTCTAAATCAGCCTAGAATAAGTCATATTGCATTATCACTAACACCTGAATCGTAGAAAGGAGATTCAATTAAATGGGCGTTTGGAATGAGGTAACCATAATTCCGTGGTTCGCCTCATCACTTTTCAAAGGGGGGGGGGGGGGGGGGGGGGGGGGGGGGGGGGGGGTCT